ATAAAGTCGGTAAAGTAAGATGTAAAGTCGGTAAAATAAGATGCAAAGTCGGTAAAGTACTATGTAAATTCGGTAAAGTAAGATGTCAATTCGGTAAAATAAGATACAAAGTCGGTAAAGTAAGATATAAAGTCGATAAAGTAAGATGTAAAGTCGGTCAAGTAAGATGTAAAGTCGGTAAAGTACGATGTAAAGTCGGTAAAGTACGATGTAAAGTCGGTAAAATAACGTGAAATGTTGGTAAAGTAAGATGTAAAGTCGGTAAATAAGATGTGGACTCGTTAAAGTAAGATGTGGACTCGTTAAAGTAAGATGTAAAGTCAAAGTAGTGAAAAAGTAGTGCAAAGTGTAAAACTGTAAAACAAAGGTGTGGATAAGTGGTGCAAAGTGGAGACGTGAGTGAAAAGTAGTGGAAAAGTCTTGCAAAATGGAATAGTAGTGCAAAGTGTGGCAATGGAGCGTAAAGTAGTAGAATAGCGAATAGCAAAGTGTGAAACCAGAGTGTAACGTTATGTAATAGTGGTGCAAAATGTGAAACTAGAGTGAAAAGTAGTGGAATAGTGGTACAATGTGTGAAACCAGAGTGCCAGTAAGCGGAATAGTCATGCAGAGGTTGAAACTAGAGTGAAAAATAGTGGAAACTTGCTACAAAATGTGACACTGGAGAGGAAAGTAAAGGCAAAGTGAAGCAAAGTGTGAAACTAGAGTGCAAAGTAGCAGAGTAGTGGTACAAAGCCTGAATCTAAAGTGTAAAGTCGTTCAAAAGTGGTTCAAAATGTGAAACGAGAGTGCGAAAAGTAAAACTAGTGAGCAAATTAGTGGAAAGGTGTTGCAAAGTGGGAAATTAGATTGTTAACTCGTGAAATAGTTGCGCAAAATGTGAAATTAATGCGTGAACTATTCGAATTGTGGCGCAAAATGTGAAACTAGAAAATAAAGTAGTGTAACAGCGGTGCAAATATTAAAACTAGAGTGTAAATTAGTGGAATAAAGGTGCAAAGTGGAAACTAGCGTGCGAAGTAGTGGAAAGGTGTTGCAAAGTGGGAAACTAGAGTGTTAACTAGTGGAACAGTTGTGCAAAATATGAAATTAGTACATAAACTATTCGAATAGTGGTGCAAAGTGTGAAACTTGGGTGTGAAAAAGTGGAAAAGTTGTGCAAAATATGGAACTAGAATGTCAAGTAGTGGAATACTAGTGTGAAACAAGATTTTTTTCCCTTGCTCAATTTGGCTTTAAGGCGGCTTCTGTTGTTCTCTGGGCGGCCTTATTGTTCCCTATATGACCCCGCGACTTCTAATTGACCTATTGGGTGTCATGTGACGTCATCTGGCCTATGCGGCTAACACGTGACGTCATACGGCCTCTGGCGGGTCCCACCGGGGCGGCTTCATTGTTCATAGGCAGCTCCATTGTTCCCTGGGCGGCTCTATTGTTCTCTGGGTTATATTGTTGTCCGGTTGACACCGTGACTTCTATTTTACCTCGTGACCTGGGCTTGACCCCGTGTTCTCGGTTTGACCTCCATTCAGCCTATGAGGCCGCCCCTTGTTTTTTTTGAAGTCCCGTGCGAGGTCATTTCTGTTGGTCTTCGCTGTACCCGGTCAATTCGAGCATGGCAAGGCTAATTAACGCGAGTGCTCAGATCAAGACGGCCTAATTTTTTTCCCTGCTAAATTTGGCCCCATTTTTGCTTTAGGGCTTATAATAAATAAAGATAACGCCAGCATTAAATCTACCAAATATTTTTTACGACGGCCGCCAATTTTGCACCAGCAGAAAACCCATGCTCTTCTACTGTAACTATTACAACTAATAATTAATAATGTCGCCAGTATTTGATGAGTGTAACATAGTGCACTGGGGTACAAATACTTTGAAGCCAAGGCTGTAAGGATAGTGGGTGTTAGCCATCAAGAGAAACAGTAGTGATTTCAATGTGACACTATAACTTAAAAAACACACACATACAACAGGGATATTTCAATTTGTTCGAGTGACCCTCGACTGTGATATATATATACCGGGGAGTGGCTGAGGATAAACAAGTCATGTCGGTCTTTCGTCGACCACGTTTCGCATAAAATGTAGTAGCACAGTATAAAAACAGAAATTCATCTCTCTGTACTCGCACTCTATATACATACTCCCACTTCGTTTGTCTCGTTTGCTAGGATAAATCATCCCGGGCTAACCCTAGTTCATCGACACGATCGGGCGACCCAGTCGGAGGGGCTGCAGGGGCACTACTGGACAGCGGCGTCAGTCGCGGAATCTAGAAAGCGCGCTTATGAGATGAAACGTTGCAACAAAGCGCGTTTTAGCTTATTGAGCAGGCGACGATATCCAAAGAAAATTGTCAGATTTTGATATTGATATAAGTTGTTATTGACAATGGATCATTTTATTTGATGCCGATTTTCGTATTACCTACTTGGTATCTAACAAAATAGCTTCTTCTTTTTGAAAACAACATTGTATTCGTACGTGATAAATTATCTTAAAAAAGCTGCTGCAATGACGTCATGTAACCCACTGGTATTGATAATGCTATAATATAATTAAACAATAATGAACGACCCACGAACCCATAATTGGCGAAAGTCCAATATGGGTTGGCGGGGAATTCATTATTGTTATTATTCTGCAGCGTTGTCAATACAAGTGGATTTGCTGGCTTCTAAAAGGTTGAACATTTCGAGAAAAATTCACAGTGAACGGAACAGTTTCATAGTCACTGGCCCATGAATCTGAATAATTTAAAATGTCTTTTTGGAAATTATATACACGATCTCATATAGCAAACTAAGTAGTAAACAATTTTTAATCCATCAAATATTATTGAGTTTTTTTTTCATTGCGAGTGGACTGTGACTGACGTGTGGTGTGGGGTAGCATTGTGGTGATCACCCGAGGGTACGGCACACCGTGACAGGTACGCCATCTCTTATGTCCGCCACGACATTGCAGTAAGCTTATCTAGCTATGCCAGATCGCCGCTGTGGACGGCTGGATCGACTGTGCGTAGGGGTGCGTACCCGGCATAAATGTACGTAGTCGTATCGTTATGCCAATAGTCACTTCTAGACGTTATTGAAAAATACAATTGTATAGTGGTTAAACATACACCAATGAAGTTTCAGACGGAAATAATTTATAATTTATATGAATGGAGAATTGTGATTTCATATGAAAAGTCGCTCAATTTTAGTTACATCCTATAATACTAAATGTGTGGTGCACGGCGCGGCGCCAAATGTGTTGGTAAAAGTCCAACTTTATTACATGTTTTTTTTCGGAATTGTATTTGATTTTGAACTGTTGCTAACACGTGTGATCCCTTGGTACGAAATCGAATGAGGAACTGAGATGCAGTTGAAACCTTTTACGGAACTGTTAAATAGAGATATTCCATACTGTATCGCATCTTTTATATTGTCAGTTTTACCCATTTCTGCAATAGGAACAGGAATACACGAAGGATTTGAGGTTTATTGAATACAACATGCTTTGTCCGATTTTAAAATACGTGAGACGAACCCATCAATATAAATAATTGCCTGATTTGGAGTGCATGGTACGTTC